TGGAGTGGGAGGGGGCGGGGGCAGGAGAGTTGCGTGCCTGAATGCTACCGGCGGGCCGCCTTCGCGTAAAGACACACAAAACTTTCTGCCTGTCCCCGATTTGCCGCTTAATTTAGGCCTCGCGACATCCGCCTCGTGCGGGTCTCGCGAGAGCCACGGGATAATCGAGGGGTGAACAGCCGCAAGGCGCGAACATATTTGAAAAGAAAACAGTAAAAGAAATAACAACTACAGCAAACAGGTAGTTTACTGCGTACGCCAACCTTCTCGAAGGAAGAATGCTATGCCGCATGCAGGCGTGCGAGTGGATGGCATATAATGCAAAGAGGGTGGAGACCTTGGTAAGTCATGAGGACAATAAATGGAATTAATGAATTGATCTTAGGCAGAAGAAACGACAGAATCGCACAAGTAAAGCAGCGAAGCTTTAACAAAAGTGTTTTCTCCATCTCGCTGCCCAAACCACAGGAAATTACCTGAGAGAGAGAAAAGAAAGGGGCGAGAGGGATGGGAGGGGGTATTTGGTATACTGCATGGTTGGCTGCGCAATGGTGACCCGCCCGTGACCCCTGCAGGAGTAGGAGCAGTGGTGGTAGCGCGGCCGGAGCAGCACCCTCTCTGCAGCCTGCGGCCGTGAGCCATTCAACCTACGAGCCCGACGTAGGGACTTACTAAAAGGTAAGGCACACCGGCGTCAATGGCCGGAAGGGTCAACAAAGCCCTTCTGTCCCTCTTACCAAAACCTCTCTACTTGTCTGCCGCTCTGCTGTCTCTTTGTCACCCCCCCCCCCCCCCCCCTCCTTTATGAGACGGTCCACCACACAAGAGAATACGCGCGTGTACTGCATACGAGGTGACTGATGAATGGAAAGTATTAAGTAAGTATTTCAATGTAAAGAACTTTATGCAGGATATTAAAGAGAGGAAGGAGGGAGAGAGGGAACGGGAACGGGGGAAGGGGGGGGGCGTTGGACTTGCTCCTAAATCTATCTGAACGCATCGTTTGAAACCTCACAACAGACCAAAAAACTTACAGTACAGTAATTCTGAGTTGAAAACTTCGGGGGCATAAATGAAATGATCGAGTTGCCGATTGAAAGTAGTTGCGACTGCAGGCCACAGTGTAGGCGCGGTTGCTCCAGGGCTGCGCTCACGCAGGCACCACGCCCTTTTGTTCCCTATACTTGGCTGCCCTTGCCTCTTGCACTCGTGGCGCCGGCCAGCCCCCCGCCCCGCCCGCATGGCACCGTTTGTTTGCCAAGTTTGGCAAAATAACAGTAGATTTTCCGCGAGCTCACCCCGTGTTGCAACGTTTGTCAAGTCGAGCCGCGCTGCATGCACGCTACCGTCGCTACACTGCGAAATAATCCATCATTATGTCTGGCACGATTGAGCTTTATTGTAGACGCCATAGCTGCAACCAAGAGAAGGTGCAAGCGAATCAAAGGCTTTGCAGAAGTTTGTAACCAGGGTCCAGGGTCGCTAATTTGGTGTGGCACGGTTTGGCGCGTTCTTAGTGGCGTAATTTTATCCACAAATGGCACCGGATGTGTAACATCTTCTCTAGACTGTCGACGTGCTGGCAAAGTTGGTTCCTAATGCAAATGCCAGGCGCGTTGGTTGTTGTTGTTGTTGCTTTTGTGGTGGTTTTTTTTTGGGGGGGGGAGGGGGGGGGATGAAAGAGTGCCCTCCTTCCCCGGTCGGCCAAAATCACCCCCTAGAGTAGGTAGGTAATTTGTCCTACAAAAGCCCTGAGAGTAGGCACCCAGTAAATCGCATTCTCCGTCAGACCAACTTAAAACCGCGCCTGGAAAACGATTTTATTTGCAGCTTTAAAAAGCATTTTGAAGCATTAATGCAAATAAGTTCTTCTCAAGCTGCTAGCATACTCTTATTTTTCAATGCAAACACACAGTTTGCAAGCAGTTTACAGTGCACAGCTTATTTACGATATTAATATGATGTACATAATAAAAGCGAGTAAACCTAAAATAAACAAACATGGTATGTACTGACAGACGCATTCCAACCACGACTTGCACTACCTCGTGTGTTACTCCCGTTCTGCGCCCCGAGTGGCGCTGGATTGCTACACTTTGACTCGCCCTTGAAGACAATGAGAGCTGTCTTTCACCTCCTGTACTAGTAGTTGCGGGCGCCGATTCATGCTGTCTCTCTCACACTCCTGCTCCACACTCTCTTTCTCGCTTCAGCCCCGCGTTCGCCGTAAAAGCAAAAGTCATCGCCTTTTTTATCCAGCAATGCCTTCCACCTCTTTCCTATTTCAAATTGGGCGTCCGGCAGATACTCCATACCGCTCTGGTGTAAAAATATATTCGAAGAACCAGTGGTAGCTACGATCTTAAAACCCACAACGCCCAACATAAAGTAAGTCGGTTTTGGCATGATAATGTAGCGCAAACGCTTAATTTATTGACAATTTCAAAAGTTATTCATCAAAGGAATTAATATTTAATTGTAGTCAATGAACGTTAAAAAAAATCAGAGAAATACATAAGTAGCTAGTATTTTGAGAGTTAGCCATGCTAAAGCAAGTAGATGAACATAGTGTTGGAAGCTTAAGCAAAAGTAAGCTCATGATAGCGCCTGCAACTTACTGGGTAGGCCAACCCGTTAAGCGGCTGTGTGAAGCTGGCAGCTCTCCAGGGGAGTCCCAGGGTGCAGGTGCTTGGAATAGAGCGGGTACGTTTTGGCGGCCAACGTTATCGTTCTCTCGCGGAAGTGTGCGCAGCCTCATATTACCCGGCAAAAACAAACACTACTAGTAATTACCAATTTTAGAAACCCTGTTTGAAAGCAGCAACAAATTACACGACACACACATGTCGAGCTGAGTAGGAAGCAGAACGGGACCAACGGCGGTTCGATGTAATTTTATCCCACCTCGACTGATCAGAGCCTCCTGGGACCCGCTACCTAGAGAGCTATAGGACCGCTCCCTTCGTACACTCCTAAGCGGCGAGACTGCTACATATCGCCACAACAGCATGCCGAGACTTTCCCGGCACTAAAATCATTAATGGTAAAGGAGAAAGGGAAAAAGATAAAAGACGGGAAGCCGAGGAAGAGGAGAAGGAGGCAGAGGCGGAGCGGGCGGCAGAAAAACAATTGGCGCACCGTTAGTCATTTCGACGACAAAAATACATCATAAGAAAAACTAGAGGTAGCGGACCTGGAATAATTAATCAAACCGTTATAAGCAAAAGCATGGGCTATGCTTTACCATTCCTCAACAATGTCAAAGAAATGAAATGCTACTTAACATTCCAGTTCGGCAAAATTTGTAATTGTGACACGTTTTAGGGGATTAAAGATAATATGATCATGGGGTGCGGAATTTCTTTAATCGAAAACAAATAAGTAATCACGGAACCTGCGCCACTCGGTTGGTTAAATAACCCATAGATTCATCAGTGGACAAAGATGAAGCCCGGGAGTATCCGCGTCCTACATTTTAACGCGAATATTCTGGTACGGTTTTACACGACAGCCGAGAGCAGAGCGTTGGATTCAATTTCGTCGCAACATTTTCGGCGGGTAGTCGGGCGGGCGGCGCATGTGCGATAGGGTCACAGGTGGAGGAGAGAGGCGAGCGGCGATGAGATCTCACCTCGGACGGCCCGGCTCGGCCCGGCCGGCTCACAGCTGCTGCATATTCCGGTTGGGGAGCGCCGCCAGCGCCGCGGCCCGGGATTGGCCTAGCATGCAGCCGCAGCCTCCAGCGGTATCCCGGCTCACACTACTCTAGCCTAGCGTAGGGCTCCGACTCGACTCTCTCTCGCGCGCGCAGAGGTACCTCCTGCTCGCCGCCTGGGTACCTGGGTACTGGCGGCGCGCCGGCCCCAGCCTCGTCCAGGGGCCCCGGACCCGCCCTTCCTCCCGCCGAGCTCGCGGAGGAGCCGCGCCCAGTCGCGTGTGAAATGTGGAACAAACCGATCCGTCAGGCCGCCAGCGGGGCGGGGCGGGGCGGGACGGGGCCGGGGCTAGCGGTAGGCGTTGGCGCCGCTTCTGCCCTGGCACACCGCGGCGCTCAACAGGTGGCAGTCGCGCGCGCGGCCGTCCCCCCGGCCCATCTCTCTTAGTCCACCAGGAGCGACAGCGGAGCGAGCTCTTAGCAAAGCAGGCCGCACATCGACACACGTGTGTGCGCCATCATTGCTGGCGAGCGGAAAAGAAGCAAATGTATCGCGATTTGCAAATATAAACGGTAAAATAAACGGTAACAAACGATATGTTCGATTTCGCCGCGCGCTGTTTCTCACAATACGTTACGTTTGTCCTCCGTGTGCAGAGACCCGCGGCACCAAGGCGGCACGGGCACAAAGAGACCCAGAGGGAAGACCCGCGCGCAATTTAACATCTAGGCTCATCCCGCCCGCCTCTGCCCCGCTAAACAACAACAACAACAACAACAACAACAACAACAACAACAACAACAACAACAACAACAACAACAACAACAACAACAACAACTCCAGGCTCACAGGTACAGGTGTCTCACCCACTCCACCCGGTGTCGCGCCGCGCGCTCTAGATAATGCGCCTTGGGGGTTTAATAAACGGTATGCGGCGGATCTCTTTGCTCGTTGTTGTTACTATTACTTCCCGTGCGAATAACCCTGATCTCTTTTCACAGGCGCCGTTGGTGCGGCCAATGCCAGAGCTCGGCCCGTGTGGTGTGGTGCTTGGTGCTTGTCCTCCTGGCCGGGCGGTGTTGTTGTTGTCCTCGGGGAGAAATGAGCTCCGCAATGAATAATGTGACGGGGGGAGGGGGGGGGTCAGAGATCGACCGGATCGTGTCAGCAAGGCATTGTGTGCCGTGTCGATACACAGCGGGTGGCGGAGATACCCGATGAGAAACCGTCCAATGGCCTATACAAGAGTGCCCTAAAGAGCTCTAGTGGTGCTTAAATTTAGTGCCCTTGGCTGTTATAGTTCACTTATTGTTAGTGGCAAAGCTGCATCTCTTTCTCTCTTTCTAATAGACACAAATACGAATTGTCCATCAAATTATTGTAACGGATGCAAAATTGTCCCTTGAAAGTTGCTAAAACGCATACTGGTCAACTTAAAAATGCATCTGTTTATGGACAAAAATTGTCCCTTCATATTTAATGTTTTTTCCCCTTTTGGTATGCGACTATGGCTATACCCAACGAAGAAATGTCGTTGTTGTTTTAATGACGGAAAGCTATGTCCGCTGGGGCTGCTTCAGGGTGGCATGAAGGACTCGTCACGCTGCCATTCTGCCCTAGACAGCAGCAGCAGCAGTGCTCTGGCCCTGCTGGCCCAATTCCCTGCATGTGTCATTCCGTCCGTGTCCTGACATTGCACCGCCCGGGTACCGCCCCTCGCCTCGCCTCGCCCGGGCGGGGCGGGACTTGACCTTAATGCGGGCGCCGTAGCGGGCCGTGGCCCGGGCCAGGGCCTCCAGGGCCGCGCCGTGGGGCCGGGCGGGCAGGACGGCACGGCCAGCAAAGACAAACCCGGCAATCTGCGCGGGGACATCTTCCACGGCCGCGACGCGCCATCTCTCGAAATAACACTTTCTAACGCCGAGGGAGTCGCGGATAAAGTAGAGGAGACAAGGGGAGGCTGAACCTCTCGTGCGCAGGCCGCGCGCCATTACCAACGTTTTGTTTTTCCCGCCGCGCGCGCGGAAGAAAATGAGACAGATGAGGGGGGAAAACGGGGCGGTGCAGGGCAGAGGGTGTGGGAAAGGCAAATGGGGTTGATGGCGCCCGCGGTCATGCTGCCGCTGCCAGGGACGACGACGACGACGGCGTTCGCAACCTCGCGGCAGTGGTCTTCAGACTGACGACCCCGCGCGCCAGGCAGCCGGCTCGGAATCCAGCGGCGGCTGCGGCGGCGGCAGGAGCAGCAACAGCAAAGGAGCAGCACAGCAAGCTCCATGCCGACGAGCTGGAGCTGGAGAGAGGAGATGTCTCCATCATGAGGCAGCAGCAGGGCATTAGCGCCTTCCTGAGCCCGCCTAATGAAGGCAAGAGCGGAGGCTGGGCGGGGCGGGCCGAGCTCCTCGTAGTACTGCGGGCTGAGGTGCGAGGAC